GTGTTTGTGTGGGGGGGGGGGTGGGGAGGGGAAAGTAGGGGTAGGGGGAGTGTTGTCTTAAAGATGGGCTCTTCAAACCTTGTTAAGTTTGTTGTTGAGCAGACTGCTTCCAAGAGCCAAAAGTAGACCTTCTGCATAGCAGTGTGAGCTCTTGGATCCTGGGAAGTCATTTAAGTTGTAGCTCAGCAGAATTAATTGAATAATAAAAATGGAGGTAGACAAGATAGTTGTTGAGAAAGGGAGAATAAATAGTAGGAGAAAGGAGGAGGAAATGAACAACATAGCAAATAGGAAACAAAGAAATGCAGAGCTTATCAGTTAGACTTAAGGTAGTGAAATATCTGTTCACCCCACATAATTTTTTCAGGTTAAAATTCTTAACTGAGCTTTTAGATTTACTATCTAAATATTTTTGATTTCTGTGGTTGTGGGAAGTAGGCCTGTCAACTTAGTTACCTGTGATTTAACTGGTTTTACTCTACTTTTTCTTAACTTTAAAAAAAAAGTTAGCATTTTATGTATACAGCTGGCTGGCTCTTTCCAGACTAGAGCCTCTGCTGTTGCTTTCCTCAGTCGGCTTATGACCCTTCCAGTTCCTAGTATCAGGCATTTGTTTTACAGGACAGCAAGCTTTATATAAGTAAATAACTTTTTTTTTCACCTTGGATCGTTTCCACTAGGTCCGTCAAGCTGCTTTTCAGTCTCTGGGGCCTTTCATATCAACTTTTGCTAATCCATCCAGCAGTGGCCAGTACTTTAAAGAAGAAGATGGTAAAAACCCAGAAGACTGTGGTTCCGCACAGGAAAACAGGTATTTGCAAAATCTACAAATCAGTTTTTCCTCCTCATTTTTCTTCTGTATGAATTGCGAGTTAAGAAAATTAACTTCGCTATATAAACTGATTACTTATCTTGCTGGAACTTCTCATCTTACTGAATAGATTAACAGAATTTTCTGTTGTTTACTAAAAATACATGACTATTTAGTAACTCAGGATACCTCAGGATATAACATCAGGATATACCTCCTTTTATGAAATGACTGACTTGACAGACAAGGGAGAGCAGTGGATATAGTCTACCTAGATTTCAGTAGGGCGTTTGACATGGTCTCCTGTGAGATCCTCTTAGAGAAGCTGATGAAGTATGGTCTGCATGAGCAGACAGTGAGGTGGATTGACCACTGTCTAACTGACTGGGCCCAGAGGGTGATCAGCAACACGTAGTTGGCGAGCAATAGCTGTCTTAGAGAAGCTGATGAAGTATGGTCTGCATGAGCAGACAGTGAGGTGGATTGACCGCTGTCTAACTGGCTGGGCCCAGAGGGTGCTGATCAGCAACACGTAGTTGGCGACCAATAGCTGGTTGTATACCTCAGGGGTCAACACTGGGTCCAGTCCTGTTTAACATTGTCATTAATGGATGGTGGAGCAGGGTGTTTGCTGATGACACAAAACTGGGAGGAGTGGCTGATGCGCCAGAGGGTCGTGCTGCCATCCAGAGGGGCCTCAATAGGCTGGAGAAGTGGGCTGGCAGGAACCTCTTCAAGTTCAACAAGGAGAAGTGCAAGGAGGACAGAGCCAGGCTCTTTCCAGTGGTGTCCAGACCAGAGGCAATGGCCACAGACTGGAACACAGGAGGTTCCCTCTGAACATCAGGAAACACTTCTTTTTCAGCTGTGAGGATGATGGAGCACTGGCACAGGTTGTCCAGGGAGGCTGTGGAGTCTCCATCCTCTGAAATATCAAAAGCCAGTCCTGGACAACTGGTTCTGGGTGTCCCTGCTTGAGCAAGGGGTTTGGCCCAGGTGACCTCCAGAGTCCCTTCCAATCTCAACCGTTCTGTGATTTATTTTGCAATGCTGTAAGTAAATCTAGTTTGATGAATAGCAAAGGGGTAGCATGTGTGTGAATTTTCAAGAGCATCTGTTTGCAACAAGTATGTTTTGGTTTTTAAATGTTCATTTGCTTTGGCACTCAACAGCGAACAAGTCAGGACTGCAGAAGATGTCACAAGAGAGGATGAGCACAACAGGGCAGAGGATCTGTCTTCACTAGTTGATAATGATGATTTTGCAACGAAACTTGAAAATGCCATGGAAGATCAAAACACAGTGTCAAATAACTCCCAGAGGGAAAGTGGTTTTCAGACTGAGTCATCCTTCCATTGCACTTTGTCTTCAGAATCTTGTGGCAAAATGGCTGATGAGAACGAGCGGAGTTCTCGTTGCTGTACGGCAGGTCTGCGGGAGGCTGGGCTGAATTCACAGGAAACCTCTCTTTCAGAGCAGGAATTGTACAACTCTTTCCATTTCTGGAGGACTCCCCTTCCTGAAATAGATATTGACTTCGAGCTTCAGCAGAATTCCGAGATAATACTTGATAGAGAAATTCAGGAACTCACCATGCCAGTGTCTCCAAACATTCCTATGGCAACGAGGAAAGAATTGGAAGAAATGATAGAAAATTTGGAGCCCCATATAGACGATCCGGATGTTAAAGGTATAGTAAAGATCCTGAAGCATTTTTCGTGTTTGGAGATATGTAGATGTTACTGTAGCAGTTTGGGCTTTAACTTCTCAGTTGTTTTCAAAGTCAGAAATACTGTTTTCTCCTGGTCTTCAAAGAGATTGTATCTGTTTCGGTTCAATTGTGAAAATGGATGATGAACTAAAAGGGAACTTGGTTTGTGTGAAGGTGTTTAAGGGCGGTATGATTCCTTCCATAAACTGAATACATGTACAGTTAGCAGTGGAACCTTCTGACTGCCTGTTTTGTCAGCGCAGTCAGATGGATGGTTCAACGGCATAAACTGTTGATCAGGAGATTACTTTTTAATTAGCATACATGCAAAATAAGAAGATAGATTAAGGGGTTTTTTTAAATATCAAAATGTGATAAATGGTTTTTATTTTATGTATTATCCATATTATTTTTAATGGACTAGTCTTCTCCATTTTTCTGCAAGGTCATTATTACTGCAGTCTCATGTTATCGACTTAAGTGTGCCGAGTTCGTTGGGTCAAACAGAATTGATCCAAACTGAATTCTTGAAGTGAACCCACATCCTCCACTTTAAAAGCTCTTTAAGGGTGGAGAAGGGTTTCATAAATGTGACCAGCTGGTGGAGCAGCACCTCAGAGATAGCCAAGTCATTTTAGCCTAGGAGATAGTTCACACATACCTGCTGGTATTCATATGCTGAATGAATTCTAAGGCACAGCAGGCTTTATCGTGGGTGTCAGAAAGTCCAGAGGTGCTACTAAGGAAAAAGCCATGTTCTTCAGGAGCTGGAGAATCCCTAGGGGAAAGTGTGCCTCTATATCAGAAAAAGTAGGAAGGAAAAAGAGGGACAAGTTGGGAGTAGGAAAATATTGTAGAATAAACTGATACTGCTTTCAACTTCTTTTTGTTGCTAATAGGTTGATACGCTAATAACTTTCCTTAAATCCATTTTGGGCTGCTTCTGTTTAATCTGCTGTGAAGGCAGAAGATGACTTTGTTGCTTTGAGTGCTTTGGGCACTCTCTCTCTTAAGGAAAGAGATAAAAAAAGTTCAGCCTTGCTAATGATCTCAGTCTTCACAAAAACCTGTCTCTGAAGCCCGCTGTTAAAACTTGCACTGCTGTTTAGGCTTGGTTTAGAAAACCTTATTCTCACTAGTTACAGAACCTGTCTTAAACATTTAAAATGAAGATTGGTATAGACATGTATTTGTACACCCAGGATTGCCCTATGTTAAGGGGTTGTTTGTCGTGTGTATGTTCATGTCTCGTTTCGGAGCAGGTTTGGTTTTTGTAGTTCTCTTGACTGGGTGTCAAGAGGAGGTTTGCTCTGCAGTTGTTGACTAGCACTTGAGCATTTCAGGAAAAGAAAACTGAGTTGTCAACACTGTGGGTTCCTAGTGCCCACAAGTCAGGAAAGATCGGACTTAGGGTTACCAGTGCCATTTATTCTAATGTGGGGTTGGGAGTGGATGGTTTTAACTACTCAGTCACTTTTTGTATCCTGTTGAGTACCTCTGGCAGAGTTAAGGCTGTCTAGTGAAGCCCCATGAAAGGCACCTTCTAAACCTTGTACTCTCTTTCCCCTCTTGCCTGTACTCATTATTCGGTCTGCATACTTCAGGAGCTGGGATTTAACAACTTGCTTGTTTTGACTTGGTAATGCTGCTATTTTAATTTTGCACAAAGTGCATTGAAGCATAAGAAAACTGAGACCAAAACTGATAGAATAGTATCCGTTTTGCATGCATTTCAAACACTAAAGTGTGCATTGAAGCGGTAGGTGTTCAGGCGTTAGTCTCTGAGTAGCTGACTTAATGCCTGTGTTTTGGATCTTAAACTCCATAAATTATGACAGTAGGGAGGTAGCCTCCCTTTGGGGGTGATCCAGAAGATCAGAGCCCTGACTGCCTCTTTGCTTATGGCAATCCAGCAATAATGCTGCCACCGTTACCATCTAAAACTGTATTGCAAACTGGTGGTATGAAAATTCAATCCAGAAGTTTTCTTAATCTGTTATTTTCATAGAAGTTTTATAAAAGTTATTAATTTCACAGATAAATTTGTCTCCGTCCTACGTGGCTTACAGGTGTTTGCCAAACAGCCCTGGTCCCGTGCAGTGCTTAAGGTCTTTCCTTGGTCTCCCTGGTCCCCCACCCCCGCAAGGCTAGCCAGTACATTTTTGGTTGTGTTTTCTGTGTTTCTGTAGTGCACCTCCCTACCATCAGAGCAGTTTCCATTTCAGACTTCAAATCCTTGCTCCAAGGCATTGGAGACTGATGGGGTCTCTAGCAAATAGCAACCACCACAGAGCATGTTTTTTTTCCGTAATCTCATTCTCAGAAATGGGTTAACTGCTTTAACTGAATCTCACTCCCAAAAATCTTTACCTTGAGGCTTTCTTTCCAGAACTAGCTTGTTGCCAAAGTAATAAATCTGAATAACAGGTAGTTGAGCAGTCAGTATCCAAGATAAAGGCAGCCTGTCTTCTCACGGACAAACTCTGCTGGTCCTTGAGCGTGTCCAGAGAAGGGCCACAAAACTGGTGAAGGGTCTGGAGAATTTGTCTTATGAGGAGCGACTGAGGGAACTGGGCTTGTTTAGCCTTGAGAAGAGGAGGCTGAGAGGAGACCTGATCACTGCCTACAACTCCCTGAAAGGAGGTTGTGGAGAAGTGGGTGTTGATCTCTTCTCCCTAATGACAGATGATCGGACGAGGGGGTATGGACTCAAGCTGCGCCAGGGGAGGTTTAGATTGGACGTAAGGAAGAAGTTCTTCACCGAAAGGGTTATCACACACTGGAACAGGCTGCCCAGGGAGGTGGTCGAGTCACCATCCCTGGATGTGTTTAAGAGACGGGTGGATGAGGGGCTGAGAGATATGGTTTAGTGGTGGACAGATACGGTTGGACTGGATGATCTCTAAGGGCTTTTCCAACCTAGTGATTCTATGATTCTATGCAAAGCTAAGCAGTGATATGTAATCCCTGTTTTATAGGGCCTTTCCAATCCACTGGCCAGACATCCTGAGAGTCTCATACTGGGAGTTGGAAACCTGCACAATCCTATGAACTATGCCAGCTCTTTTAAAATTATCACAGGGTCTTTATTCAGGTCACCTTTTTCCAGCTCCCGGAGACTGCTGCCATCATCAGTTACTTCAGAGGTTGCTTTTCTTTCCCCAGATGTTTTTATTTATTCACTTTATTCAGTTGACCCCATTCCCTTATAAAAACTGTGTTTATAATGTAGGCTACTAGCACTTCCTGCAGTAAAAGTCTAAAATATATTGTTAATGGAACAGCAGGTGAGGAAGTGGAGAAGAAACGCCTCTTATTTTGATGTTTTGAATTCTTGCATCTCTCTACCCGTTAATGCAGCCCATAGCTTTTGTCTCCAAGTAAGAAGTGAGGGTAAGGAAGGCAGATCCTTCAGGAAAAAAAGAAGGGAGCCTGCCACTTAAAAATATCAGTGTCTTCTAGTGAAACATCAGGAGGAACAGAAGACAGGAATAAAGCGTATTGAAAGGACAGAAATTCTTGATTAGTAAGGCCAGGTAAAATGTGGCTTTGAATTTAAAGGTTGTGCCATTGTATGCAGATCCAGTAGCCAAAAGTAAATAATTCCTTGCTGAAAAATACATCTCGCCTGAAGCAAAAGTCAAATGCAATACATGAGTTCCGTGTATGCACAAAACTGGCCTTGACGCTCCAGTTTTTACTGAAGATAATTCTGAAAGCTGGTTAGCCAGCAGATTCCCTTCCAGTCATCTTCCCAAAACCTTGTTTCCCAACAACTCCGAGACGTTTCTCTGTGTCACGTGTGAGAGAGGAGCCTTATCCTTTGCTTTTACTTTCAGTGGTTTTCTGGAAAAGGTTCCCTGTCCTACGGCTGCAGGAAAGATCCCTGTGGGAGTTGCAGAGGAGCTGCAGCCAGCTCAGTCAGGTGTCAGCACAGATCTCTGTCTCTGTGTGATGGCATTAGGAGGGGTTGTGCCCCTGGCACCTGAGCCCTGAGCTCGGGGTGGTGAGGACAGCTCATTAGGATGGCCCCTCAGGTTTCAGGATCTTCAAGGCATCCACCTAGGGCTGTGCAGTCATATGCACATACTCACACATGCACACGTCTCTTTGAAGCACCCCACCGTGCTTTGAAAGGGCCCTAGTGACTCTGCTGGGCTCTTTCTTTGGCTGGGACCTTAAGATGTGTATGGACTTGAGGTCATTCACCTTGCAGTGAATGACAGCACTGGAGTCACCCTGGGTGACAGGATATATAGAGAAGCACTCAAAAAAAGGCAGTACTTGTTAGTCAATTAAATTCTTGGGAGTTTGGTCTCCCCTGTCCTTCATCCCCACATCTTGGGATTGTAGAATTGACAAGAAGCTGAGGAGGTGCACGTTCATGTCATATCTCTTCTAGGGCAGGCAGAGAAAATCAGGAATACGTGTGGTCTGTTAAGCCCTGAACCAATGATGCTCCAGACGTGCAGGCTGATAGTGGGGCAGAGGTGGGGAGTAAGTCTTGGAAAATTCCCAATTACTGCTGTAGGTACCTTCGCTCTTGTTGCTAGAAGTGATCTTTGGAGCTCTGTGTGGATTTTTCAGTAAATACTTATTCAGTGTTTAAGCAGTACATGTTACCTACTCAGGGTAAGCTTTCTTGGCTTTTAACTGAAAATGAGTGTACATTTTTCATGAAGTTGTCTTTCATGAAAGAAGTGTTATTGAAAAATGTCTGCTTGATGTGCAGCAGAATATAATTATTTTAAGTTTTCTTATTTGATTCCTCTAAATGAGAATAAACTGGAAATCAGACAGGCCTTTCTTGCCCTAACAGGTGCTCTGAAGTTACCACCTGTTTTGCATGGGTTTGGGGTGATGTATTTAACTTTTAAGTTTTGGAGGAATTTACTAACTTTGATTTTTTTTTTTTTTTTAATTCTCCTGGGCCTTGAAGTATGGAGGTTTATTTTCAGTGGACTAATGCTTGAAGAGTGAAGTCATAGCAAGCTTCTGTTAATCTTACAGACTGTAAAAGTCCTA